GGATCGAAGGAGAAACGGTGGTCCATGGTGTTCCCTGGGTGTGCTCGATGACGTAGTGGTCTAACCAGCATTGTTCGTGGTTTACCACAAAGGCCTGCAAATGCCAAGTTGCAATGAAAAGCCCTCTACCCCACGCGCCACGTCTAAACAGATGCCGAAATACGATGCCGAAAGATGCTTGTCCGAAATCTTCTTTTTACACCCTCCGTTGTCTGTCGACAGTCTTTTGGGGTAAATACGCCTGGGGGCGGTTTCGTTTCTTGATCGACGTTGCCTTTGTTCCTCCACTTTGATTTAATTCCCTGTCGAACGGTATATCTACGGTACAGGACAAATTTACCGCACTACACAGGAAACGTTTAACTATTCAATCACCAATCAACAACTACGAACAACAGAAGAGAAGAAAATTTTCACGTTTATCCACCTCTTCAAATATTCCATCCATCATGTCACCATCGATCTTCAAATGAAGTGCCCGAAACGATCGGTCAAGCGTCTAAAATTGAACTCGATTAAATTAATTTCAGATTTTTTCTTCTGTTTATATCAAAGTTTTGGGGAGAGATAGGTAAAGCTGAGTCGAGCAGTTATTCGATCCAAAGGGAGTTGTTTCCGCGTCACAGAGAATCACGGCCATTAATCTTCGATTAAGTGTTCACCGATCGGTCAAGGTAATTTCACGAATTTTCGTGAATTAGGAAAACTCGTCCCCCCCTTCTCGTTCTTCTCCGTGCTCGTGCCACGGTACCCTTCGCTCAGCTCTGGCCGTGGCTCTCTACGGGGGAGCACCTCTGTCAGCCACCAGTATGTCACCGTACAGACCAGCGCCCCGGTACAATGAGGGCCCTGAACGCGATCGATATGTGCACTCGACGGAAACGACCCAACGAAAGGTCGATCAAAGCGAAATCACTGCGCTTGGAAATGCAGCAGCGACGTTTATGGCCTGTAAAAAATTCCTCGTCGAGAATCTTTGTTTAAACTGTTGGAGGAGAGGCTGTCTCGTCTCGATGGTATTGTTCCGCTCGACGGTGCCGGCGCACAGATCGGTGCATTTCCATCGAAATTTCGTCTAGACGTCCGTTGTACGCTGCTAGAGACATATTTATGAATTTCTATGTCGAAGAAGGAAATTTTCAGTGAAGAATACTAAATTTACCTTGGAGTGGATTTATTATTCCGAGCTTTTGGGAGGTTTAATTGCACATTTCAAGAAGCTTCCATTGAATTTTAATTTGAAGAAAAATAAAAGCGATATCTGTGATTCGTTTGTTTACGAATATTAAATGCAATTATTTTTCTCCATGAAAATAGATTATTGCCTGCAAGTTAGATAGTTTGATAGTTTATGGGCATTTGCTTGAGCTTCCATACGCTTCGATCTGTGATTTGTAAGTTTCCGTGGATCGTGTTGTAGATATATTACGATCGAGATAGGGAAACATACGTTGAAGTGGAATAATTCTGGAGGATAAATCAGACCTGTTTCCGATTTCTTACTATCCGTCGTCGGAACCCTCGTAGATGGAAACAGTTACAGGGTTCAGAGGCCACGGCAAAAACTGATTGAATCCCCCCAAAATCCAACACCTTTACGGATCCTGGCCGTCTGTCGCGCTCTGCACACAGTTATACGTCGTGGACATAATGGTTCCATTGAAGCATTACCATTATTGGCGAGATTTGGGGAAACGATCGAGCGTGCTAACGGATTCGTCGCAGCTTGCAGCCTGTTTGCAAATAGGCCTTGTATACGAAATTATTGATCAACCGGGTAAAAGGGTGTCTTGAAACCGCGCTAACCACCGAAAATATCCTTTCCTGTCGTTTCGTGCGATAAAATCAAAACATTTGGTAAAAATCGATGGATGAAAAATTACAAATAAAATTCCACGAATCAGAGAAATATAAATACTAATTTATTACTGGCTTATTTTAATTATTCTATAGCAAATAATTATTACGAAAATTGTACAGAATTCCAAGATCAATGAAGTCGAACGAAACTCGATCGATCACCAGGAAGCACCACTTCGAAAAAATGATTTCCATAACAAGAAGAAGAGGGTGTTCCATTCTCTCTGGACACGTTAGCCAAGTGTTGGAAAAATAAATACGTGAATTCGGTCGTTCGATCAACTCGAGTGCAAATAGGGTAGTGGCTATCAAAATAACCGGTCGAACTCCTGATATTCACGATGGAAAAATAATATTTTCCAATTTCCACTTCTTCACCCTACCAAAGCTTCGCCTTTCCTCTCGATAATATTTATTCGTACAGGAGAATTGCGAGATTTCGATTTGGATGCTGCGATAGAAATTCTATTTCACCCTTATTTCCTTGGAATACCGTCGAAATGACAGTCGAACGTAACGTATGAATTTCGATTTAAAAGGAAAACTGTGAATGTCGAGCTGCGACAACAGGTTTTTGTGCAAGAGGGCGAAATTTTTCGATTATCCAACCGAATTCGTTTCCAAGTCACGTCCGTTGGCGTAATCCGTCGGATTAGGCGGGTAGGCGTAATTTCAGGCGCAACTTGTGATACATCTGGCCTGCAGTGATTCCTACAAAGGACACGTGTCCTGGCACGTGTTCATTCATTCTTGAACAGGACCTCATTCCTGCAAAGTGGCTCGAGCACGCTCGTTTGTAAGACGATCGCTGCTTAATCGTAACTTTCCTGTTTGCAGATACGTTTCCTCCCTTTAGAGACTCGCTCTGTCGCCGATCCACACGTGGTTTATCTAGGATCGCTTTAGTTGTGTGCGACTCGAGCCTGTGAATTGCGCTTAATTGAAATGTATTCAGCGCTGAGTGCATCGGTGGAGAGTTCATCTGAATTTTAAATATGTGTACAATCTGGGTCCGTGAATTTTATTTTTTATTTCAGAGGAATTTTTTAAAGTCTTCTTATAGTTAAGCATAGGTCTTCTTTCTTCGTATATTATAAATTCATAAATTTTGTGAACTTTTAAAATTGATAAATTTA